GGACACGGTGGCTCAGTGGCTAAGATGCTGAGCTTGTCGATTGAAAAGTCAGCAGTTCAGCTATTTGAATCCCTAGTGCCATGTAATGGGGTGAGCTCCCATTACTTGTCCCAGCTTCTGCCAACCTAGCAGTTCAAAAGCACATAAAAAATGTAAGTAGAAAAATAGGGACCACCTTTGGTGGGAAGGTAACAGCGTTCCGTGCACCTTTGGTGTTTAGTCATGCCGGCCACATGACCATGGAGACGTCTTCGGACAGTGCTGGCTCTTCGGCTTTGAAACAGAGATGAGCACCGCCCCCTAGAGTCAGGAACGACTAGCACATATGTGCAAGGGGAACCTGTACCTTTATATCTTTTAGCCTTTTTGTCTTTTATATTGAACATATGTGTGGTATAGTGGTTAAGGTACAGGGGTTTCTGCAAAAGGGAGATCCGAGTCAAGATCATGGCCACAACTTCGCAGTTGATACCCTGACTCCTTTTTAAAGTACCATGTTAGAAAGAGCTGGATGGTTGCATCCAAATTTTGGTCTTTTTTGCCCCTCCCACCTGCCCAGTTTCAAATTATACTCAACCCCAGAACTCACTGAGCAATTTTAAGCCAATGACTCTTACCATATCGTATTGTTGGAGAAAAGATAGAAGCAGGGAGTGATATGCACACCGATTTTTGTTCTTCAGTGAAAGGTGGGATAAGACAAGCCATCAAATGAATAAAATGTGCCTTTTATTCATCTTATTATACAGGTTGATGGCCCTACTGTACTAAACTCTAAGTAACTTAAATGACCATTACAGAATATAGAAAGGAATTAAGCAGAATAAAAAAGCCTGAACACCGACTGTTTATCCAAGATCTGTTTATACCTGTGTTCCAGTGGTGGAATTCAATTTTTTTTACTCCCGGTTCTGTGGGCGTGGCTTGGTGTGCGTGGCAGGGAAAGATACGGCAAAATCTCCATTCTCACCTCACTCCAGGGGAAGGATACTGCAAAATCCCCATTCCCCCCCGACTCCAGGGGAAGGATACTGCAAAATCCCCATTCCCTCCCCACTCCTGGGGGAAGGATATTACAAAATCTCCATTCCCACCCCACTCTGGGGCTAGCCAGAGGTGGCATTTGCCGGTTCTCCAAACTACTCAAAATTTCCGCTATCGGTTCTCTAGAACATGTCAGAACCTGCTGAATTTCACCCCTGCTGTATTCGTAGTATTTTAAAGTACAGGTTGCCCTCAACTTGCGACCACAACTGAGCCCAAAATTTATGTTGCTAAGTGAAACATTTGTTAATTTTGTCCCATTTTGCCTTTCTTGCCACAGTTGTTAAGTGAATCACTGCAGTGGTTTAAGTTAGTAACGTGGTTGTTAAGTGAATCGGGCTTCCCCATTGACTTTGCTTGTGAGAAAGTTGCAAAAGGTGATCACATGATCCTGGGACACTGCAACTGTCATAAATATGAAACAGTTGCCAAATGTCTGAATGTTGATCACAGGACCATGGGGATGCTGCAATGGTCATAAGTCACTTTCTTCAGTGCTGTTGTAACTTTGAATGGTCACTAAATGAATTGTGGTAAGTCGAGGACTACCTGTACGTCACCAGAATGGCAAGAACCTTTTATAATTGCTGTTCTATTCTAATAAGGCTCCTGTTCCCCACAATTTCCCTTCAGCTCCAACTCTCCTGCTTAATCCCACTCACTATATCAAAAATTGAAAGAATCTGCAGTTCATTATTTTTGATAACAGCTTCCCAAATAAGACAAGGCATTTGGCTGCCTTGCAGAAGGGAGAACTGATATTCTTTCCTGACATGGCACAAATCCATCCCCAAATTGGTAAACGTTATACTTGTTTTTGAATCCTGGTTCCAGAGGGAGTGAAAAGTGTGGTCTTTTGCTGTGTGTGCTCCAGGAAATTAAGATTTGGGTGAGGTGGCTGAGGTTACTTTTAAGGGATTTAAATAATGGAATCATACTCTGTCTTGAAAGGGGAGATGGTTCTATTTTATTTTTTAAGTCAGAATTTCACGGAATTTCAAACGTAACATATGTGTATCTGGAGAGGTGGAAACCAAGTAGGCGCTTCAAAATTTGGACAATTTAATTATCATTTGTGCACAAGCAAGTTGCAGGTAAATTTCGCAGGCGTCCTGATTCCTGTCTCCAGCTCAGAAAAATAATAATTATACATTTATAAAATCCAAATTATTTGGAAAGAGAATGATGGAAATAATACAACTGATTCCTGTAATAAGGGAGCAGATTAAAAACAAATGGATGAACAAACAAACAAACAAACACAATTGATGGAGCCAATCTAAGCTGCCAATCCCCAATGAGAATAACTGTTGAAAAGTGCCCAGTGGTCATTTGCTTCTGCAGAAGCATCTGTAGCAAATGGGGATGATGCCAAAAAGACAAATACCATGTGTCTCAACACCATAATGCAAGCTCTGTTCTTTTGTACTTTGGCCAAAGGGGACACCGCATACAGTCATGAAAAGGATCTACCACAATGCCATAATCCATTTTTCATCTCTTGACTCACCTTGCTCTCTCTCCCTGCCTTGAGTACAACTAATATTGGGCCAGAAGTACCACCTTAACAATTGAATTATATTATGTTTGTTTAATTTTCATGACACCTGGGGTTCCTTTTGAAGACAGCTAGGAAGGAGGGAGGGATGGAGGGAAGGAAGGAAGGAAGGAAGGAAGGAGGGAAGGAAGGAAGAAAGGTGCTACCGACAACCTCCCATCGACCTGTGCGCTCCCACAGAGAGGGCCTCCTCGGGGTGCCATCAGCCAAACAATGTAGGCTGGTGACCCCCAGGGGGAGGGCCTTCTCTGTGGGGGCACCTACCCTATGGAACCAGCTGCCCCCTGAGATAAGGAGAATCCAAGACCTTGGTGCCTTCCGCCATGCCCTTAAAACTTTCTTTTTTCATCAAGCCGGGCTGGCTTAACATATTTTTAAATTTTTAATTTTTAATTGGTTTGTCATTTTAAACTGGGGCCAAATTAATATATATTCTTTTAATTGTTCTTAATGTTTGTATTGTATGTTTTTATCTGGCTGTACACCGCCCTGAGTCCCTTGGGAGAAGGTGCGGTATATATATTTGAAATAAAATAAAAAATAAATTAAAAAAAGGAAGGAAGGAAGGAAGGAAGGAAGGAAGGAAGGAAGAAAGGAAGGAAGGAAGGAAGGAAAGTTATTCTCGACTTAATTCAGCTTCTCATGAACAGCTCTTAAAATGTTACATCTTGAAAAACCTTTCAAAAGAGGCTTTTGGCCTCTCGCTCTCCCAGTGTAGCTGCATTGAGACAACAATCCTTTCCTTTCCCCACCTCTGTCTGTCTGTCTTTTTGCCTGCCAACTTACCTAGTTGGTTGCTTAGATGGATTTTATTCCAGTTTGGAGGTGCTGAATGACTTACTGAAGAAAAGATAAGAAAGGATTTATTTCCTATTTATTAAATGTACAGATAGTCCTTGACTTACATTACACTAAACCAGAGATCTTCAAACTTGGCAGCTTTAAGACTTGTGGACTTCAATTCCCAGAATTCTCCAGCAGAGCTGACTGGAGAATTCTGGGAGTTGAAGTCCACAAGTCTTAAAGCTGCCAAGTTTGAAGACCTCTGCACTAAACCATCATTTAGTGACCGTTCAAAGTTACAATTGACTTAAGTGACTTAAGTTTTCACACTTATCGATTGTTGCAGCATCCCTATGGTCATGTGATCAAAATTCAGGTGCTTGGCAACTGGCATGTATTTATGACATTTTGCATTGTCATGAGGTCATATGATCACCATTTGTAATTCCCAGATGGCTTCCGACAAGCAAAGTCAATTGGGACAAGCCAGATTCACTTAATGACCACATGATTCACTTAACAACTGTGGCAAGAAAAGTCAAAAAATGCAGCTAAACTCCCTTAACAATTGCCTTGCTTAGCAGTGGGAAGCTACCTGTATATAGCTGCCAAATCCAATCTCACCGATGTGCTCTATACAATATATACAGAGTATATGTGTATATGTGCACATATACACGTATTGTGTATATGTGCAATAAAACAATTGACAAAAGAATAGTATAATGCCATAATTAAAACAAATAAAACATCATTTAAAGTAAAACATGGACGTAAACACTTAACAAATAAACAAACCACAAACCAACTCATACTGTTCAACTAGTGCAGTGGCTGTCTGGAATAGTATGATTTTTCCCTTTCATTGCCCAATACTCTGCAAAACATCCATACATCTACCACACTTCAAAAACTTAATAGCCAGTGGGTGGCTGGAGTATCCCAGGCAATCAGTCTGGTTTATTTCCTCTGCAGGGAAGAAGGTTAGTTGGTTAGAGCATAAAAACCTTGTGTCCTCCAGACATGATCACGTCCCTTTGAAAAGACAATGCAATGGCTTAAAAAATACAAAATGAACTGCTAGGCTTCATACAGAGTTCTGGAACAGAGGTGGGTTTCAGCAGGTTCTGACCAGTTCTGGAGAACCGGTAGAAATTTTGAGTAGTTTGGAGAACCGGTAGTAAAAATTCTGGCTGGCCCCACCCCCATCTATTCTCTGCCTCCCAAGTCCCAGCTGATTGGGAGGAAATGGGGATTCTGCAGTAACCTTCCACTGGAGTGGGGTGGGAATGGAGATTTTACAATATCCTCTTGCCACGCCCACCAAGCCCCGCCTACCAAGCCATGCCATGCCACGCCACGCCCACCAAGCCACGCCCACAGAACCGGTAGTAAAAATTTTTGAACCCCACCACTGTTCTGGAACCATTGTGTACCTTTACATTTAGTGGGGTTTTTCTTTTTTCTTTTTGCATCCAATTGCTAAGCCTGCTCCAATAAACACAATTTGTTCAGTCACCATCTATTATTTCATGATCCACCTAGGGACTATAGCCAGGGGTGAAATTCAGTCGGTTCTATCCGGCTCGGGCGAACCGGTAGCGGCGGCTGCGGGAGGCTCCATCCACCCACGTGGATGTCATGACGTCACTTTTTGCGACAATTTTAAGCCTCTGCACATGTGCAGAAGACTTTGTGCATGCGTGGACAACGGCACTTGCAAGCGAAGTGAGCGCACGTGCGGCGTGCACACATTTGCAAACTGGTAGGGAAGGTAAGTGAATTTCACCCCTGACTGTAGCCTCCACTTTGAAAAATATTATCTTAGCTTCCCAGGTCCCTTCTAGGGATGTATTAATTTTCTGTGTGAAAGAGAGGATCAGCACTTCCTCAAGAAATCGTGGTCAAAAATCCTGGCCTAATATAATGCTTGAATTCATCCGCTGTATTAATATTACACTTGGTAATCCCATGCCAAAAATTCTCCAGTCTGAACATTGGCATCTGCAAGTATGGCGCTACATCACGTACTTCTCCTGTCCAAAAATCAACCATTATGAGAAACAGCATTTTTCAGATATATTGTGGGCTTCTTTTCATGGAATTGTCTGCCCAAGGCGTTTTGGAGGATTTTAAGGCAAATCAGCGGGTGATCTCAACATTCATTTTCATGCTTGAGCAGTCATCCGAACCATTGCTTTGTCTTCAAGCACCTGCAGTTTTCATAAAATGGTAGCAGTGGCTGTTGGCAATTGGATATGAAGGCCCCATTTGTTTGCATTTTGAACAATTCTAGATTGTTATAATTTAACATCTACAGATCATGCTAAGAACCATATTTTTGTAGAACTATTATGGTTGCTATACCACACAATATCCATAAACGTAGCTCTTTTGTATTGATGATACGGTGTTAAAGATTATCAATGTTTCCAACAATGATGAATGATCAGTATCAATACTCTTAAATTTTTACTAATCGGGACCCATTTCTGTGGTTTTGACAAACTACTGTGAAGCGAAAGCTCAGATTAATAACAGATGTTCAGAAACCTCATTGGAAAGGGGCCAGTTTATATTACTGGGAGCCACAAACCTATTACTCACAGATCATTGAAGTGGAAATACGTTGTTTCATTCTGCTGTTTCACTCTGTCGAAATTTACAATGACAATGCATCATGGTGACATTCAATTGGAACAAATTAACTGTCAGGCCAGAGCAAAACTTGTAAGTCTGAGGACTACAGCTCTCTCAGTTATGTGGTATTCACAAACATCAGAATGACCACAAACCACACTACTTTTAAACAAAGAAAGTGCAGACGCACTTGCTGGAATTAGCTTCTCCATGGCCCTAAAATTCAACCCACTGAAAAAAGATTGCATGATTTAAAAAAAAAAGAAAAGGACCAAGTCAAAAGGAGAAGAATAAGATTTTTAAGACACTGTCTTAGGAAAATAAAAACAAAAATATATTCACTGTGGTCATGAGTAAACATGCCCTTTTTTTGTTGCTCAATTAACTAAGCAGAGTTTTCCACAACTTTTTGCTTCAGGTGAGACACTGCAAGTCTTCTTCACCATATGAATTTCCTGAGACACAGAAGGGGCACTTTTTTTCCAGAACTGCTCATTAATAAAGGTATGATTGATAGTAAGGATGCTGCCACATCACAAAGACAACACGCCCATGCCATGAAGTAAGAGAGGATTCTCCTGGCCTTCAGCCCTCTGCTGCAGAGTATGGTGAATATTTATGGATCTTCTGGGCTGTGTGGAGATACCAACCCATGTGGTAAATTTTTCATCTGTTAACACAGTCAAGAAACAACATTCGTATCAAAACATCAGTAGAATTACATGGGAGTCATAATATGTCAAATAGCCCACTTTTTCTGGCGTAGCTAGAGTTGAGAATGAAAAGGGCTTGTTGAAAATACTAGGTGGCTTTATGGACCAAAATGAAGCTGTGATACAGGTAGTCCTTAACTTACAACCGTTTGTTTAGTGGCCATTTGAAGTTACAAAAGCCCTGAAAAAAGTGGCTTATGATCGTTTTTCACACTTACAACCATTGTGGCATTGCCATGGTCATGTGATCAAACGATGGGCACTTGGCAACTGGCAGGTATCTACGACAGTTGCAGCAACCTGAGCTCATGTGCTCATCATTTGTAATCTTCCCAGAGAGTTTCTGACAAGCAAAGTCAATGCTAATGACTGAATGATTCACTTAACAACTATGGCAAGAAAGGTCGCAAAATGGGGCAAAGCTGTCTTGCTTAGCAACAGAACTGTTGGGCTCAATTGTGGTCGTAGGTTGAGGACTATCTATACTGAGGTTAAACATCAGGATAATGAAAACAGCTGCACCTCTACATTTTAGAGATAATGAATATTTACACCTTCTTTAATAACTAGGTGCTGACATACAAGTATTGCATGCCGAGCGAGTATAAAGGAAGTATGTCTTATAGCGTGTGTTGAGCTTAAAAAAAGGAATACTTTGACTGCTCAGGTGCCAACAAACAAATAGCGAGGATTAGTGAGAAATCAGCCCAATTTCACTTTTATCTTAAAAACATTTGGCAAAGATAGTCATTGGTATCTGTTACGGGAACTTAGTTACTTACTGTGCAAGGGTACAGAATTAGGAAAGAGAAAAGGAGAAGGCAGGAAAATTAGTAATAGAAAAGAGTCCTGGAAAAATAGGAAAGCAGTTAAGTCATCTGACTTATTTTGGTCCTAACCCCATTCCACAGTTCCTTCTGAATCATTGAATAAAAGCATTTTTGCAGTTGTTTAGATGTCCAGTTAAAGCACAGCTGCACTTTGTTGCCGATTCTTTTTTCCTCATTCTTTTTTTACATATTGGTAAGGAATGTTTACCGGATGGAATTGGGGACTCTGAATCCTATTAAAATTTGCCGAGAATAAGTGGTTGTTACAGGTGAAACACTCTGCTTAGAATTACAAAAGAGAAGTCAATGGTGGGCAATGGTGTACCACTTAATATAGAAACAATTCAGCTAGAATTTAAGTTCGAGTGTTAATATGTTGATAAAAGCACTTCTGTAAAGGATGCCAGGTAAGGATAATAATGCACGAACTTCTTGAAGAGAGCTGTTGACAATCTGGCTGAATTATTATCAGCCTTATTTTAGGTAGCTATTCCTGGATGGCAGGTAAGTGAATGCATACTCAAATGCTATTCCATATTTTTTTTAAAAAATAATTATATCCAGAATTAGCATTTCACACATATATATATATATATATATATATATATATATATAGATATAGATATAGATATAGATATAGATATAGATATAGATATAGATAGATAGATAGATAGATAGATAGATAGATATAGATATATATAGATATAGATATAGATATATAGATATATAGATATATAGATATATAGATATATATATAGATACACACACACATATATAACCTTCTCCCATTACATACTAATTGTATATGTGTATCATATTCCCCACTACCTGTGGCTCTCCATATGTTCCACAACAGAACAATGGCAGAAGCATTTAACAGTCATAGTAGTAAACTAAAGATCTCTGAGCTACCGTAATTTAAAAGGGTATGACATTTATAACAGTGGACTTCTTATCAATTTCAGATTGCGTGTGTTTTTTTTTCAGTTAAGAACTTGTTTATCAATAAATAGTGACAGTCCTGAGAGAGCTGGGTTTTTTTTTTTTTTCATAAAGAAAGAGTCTCTCTGGGAATACATATATTAGCATCCCCAGTGGTGGGATCCTGCAGGTTTAACAACCAGTTTGGTGATTGCGCGCGTGCTTAATGCACAGTTTTACAAAACCTTACCTTCCACGTTACTGCTAGGGAGTAACACAGCTGAGGCATGGCAATCCACTGTGCCACGCGAATCTGCTGAGAAGATATAGGTCAGTAAAGCACAGGGGTGGGCAGGCCCGCCTGATAGTCGGAGCGAACCGGTTCGCTTCCAGCTGAACGTCGGAGCTACCAATTCGCCCAAACTGGTCTGAACCGGTAGAATCCCACCCCTGAGCATCCCCAAGGTGCTTTTTCAAGAGGCCACTGGACTTTCTGGTTTTTTCTTTGAAGACGTTTTTCTTTTCAGCCAAGAAGCTTCTTCAGCTCTGGGATGAGAAGGGGAACATCTTCAAAGAAAAAAAAAAACCAGAAAGTCCAAGTTCTTTCTTGAAAAAGAAATGACCTGGATGACTGAAAATCTCCATAGACATATATTAGCATATTCCAGGTTCACAAAGGCAAGATGCACTAGTGAGAGAATAAAGAAAAATTATGAACAACTCCTACTGTGTATGCTGATCTTCCTCATTTATCAGTAGGAAGACTCAAATCCAGGAAACCCACACCGGCATCACACAACCTCTGCCCAACAACTTTAACATTGTTTCCCAATGGAAAGCCAAATGGGTTGCTGAACACCAAGACATAGGAAGACATATAAATGACCCCACAAAAAAAAGGTGCCCAGCTTTGAACTAACATGTCAACAATGGACTATCCTGAATAGGATTCGTTCCTCACATGGCGTCTCTTGGGACTCTCGGTATAAATGGGGCATAGTATCCTCCCCTCAGTTACTGTAATTGTGGGGGACACATCAAACTGTAGATAACATCATGACCTGCTGTAAGTTTAGGGCATATACCCGTCCAGTATCTGATCTTTTTAAAATATAAACAATGCTGCACTTCAATAGTTAGATGGCCTAGACATTGTTACTTGAATATAGATCTTTTTTTTCCTTTTTTTTTCTTTAATTTTTATGCCACCCTTCTCCAGAGACTCGGGGCGGCTTACAATGCGTTAAGCAATAGCCTTCATACTTTTGTATATTTATACAAAGTCAGCTTATTGCCCCCACAATCTGGGTTCTCATTTCACCTAGCTTTGAAAGGATGGAAGACTGAGTCAACCTTGAGCCTGGTGAGATTTGAACTTGCTGTAATTGCAAGCAGCAGTTGTTAATAACAGTGCTTTAGTCCACTGTACTACAGGCTCTTCTTTCTTTTTAACATTTATATTTCATTGGATTGTACTAATCTAGATGAAATGGTAATATATATTGCTAGTCCATGTATATATGCCATACACCAAACAAATAATAAAGCATATTCTTGATTTTCATATTAATCGTACTTTTTAAGACTGCACTATAGAATGGCCTGAAAGAGTGGCTGAGAGTAAGAAGAGAGGCAACCTGGAATCAAGGAGAAACTTCCCAACAGTGAGAATAATTAACCAGCTTGCCTTCAGAAGTTGTAGTGCTTCATCACTGGAGATTTTTTTTAAAAAAGACTGAACAGCCACCTATCTGAAATGGTATAAGGTCTCCTGCTTGAGCTTGAGGTTGGACTAGAAGACCTCCAAGGTCCCTTCCAGCCCTCTTCTGATTGATTGATTGATTGAATGAATGAATGCAGCAGAACTTCCAAGAAAAAGCTGCAGCATGAACATGGTAGAGCAAAGAGATCCACTGATGAAAGCACTATTGCAGAGTAAAGCTTGAGCACTGTTTCTTGGCCAGCTGGAAGAACAAAAAGTAAGTTTCTTTGCTTCTTTTTCCAGTGATAAAGTTTCGCGGGTGCTTTAGTTTGGTTTTGTTTTTTTGGGGGGGTGAGTGGAGGAACCAGAACAAAAATAATCCAGAGGTTTTAGTCAGAATGAGATATGGGGAGAATTGAGCTCAAATTCTTTTTGCGGGTTCACTGGAAAAACTAGCTATGAAACTGTCATTGTCATATAAGAAGTGGGTTAGGGCCTCTTAATTCATGATTAAAGATGACTCATAATCATTTGAGACAACTAGTTTTTCTTTGTGTCTCCCCAAATTTTATCCTTAGATAACATTCTGCTGACAGTTATTTGAGATTTTGGCTGTGGGGATCTTGGATAAAAATATCTCTTGTTTTGTTTTCTCCCACACATTTTTAATTAAAAAAAACACCCTCCAACTTTCTCTGTTCTGTTTATATTTATAGAACGTCTACATTTCCAAATGCTAATCAGTACTTCTAACAAGCAACCCAAATATAATGTTTCCCAACCTCTGCTTTCCAATGTCAATTGATAAGAAAAAAAACCATTCATTTTATCTGTGCTTGAAAAGAAGAGTCTGTTTGGGGCAGTGGTGAAATCCACATTTTTTTACTACCAGTTCTGTGGGCGTGGCTTGGTGGGCTTGGTGGGCGTAGCTTGGTAGACGTGGCAGGGGAAGGATACTGCAAAATCTCCATTCCCATCCCACTCCAGGGGAAGGATATTGCAAAATCCCCATTCCCATCCCACTCCTGGGGGAAGGATATTGCAAAATCTCCATTCCCACCCCACTATGGGGCCAGCCAGAGGTGGTGTTTGCCAGTTCTCTGAACTACTCAAAATTTCCACTACTGGTTCTCCAGGACCTGTCAGATTTCACCCCTGATTTGGGGGTGAGGAAGGTGGCTACAAGTAATTAAATATACTGGGGTATCTGCAGAGGAGAGGTCAAAAAAAGTCAAGATAGTGAAAATAAAGCCCCACCCCTTTTATATGTGTTGCATAAAACAGGGTAGGGCTTTGGTCACATGATTGCAGCAGCCATCTTGATTTTTTTTCCCACTC